TGTGGGAACAGCATAGGTGAATTCTGGGAGGTATAAGAGAGATGAGTGTGGTTGAAGCCTACAGTTGATGGAGGGCTGAGGCAGAAGTTGACACTGAAAAACTGAGCAGGGACTTTTAATCCCTGTCCCTGGGCACCCAGAGAGTGTGGCCAGAGACCTCGGGGTGGCCAGTCCACTCTTGCTCCAGGCTCTGAGGAGACATGTGTGCCAACCCCAGGCTGCAATTCAAAGAGACAAAAAAAACCCCTCAAATCTCAGGATGGATCCCTTTATGGGAACTGTTCCTGAGATGGATGGATAGATGGGTGGATGCATATGGCTGGTTGGTGTACAGATGCAACCATGAACTCTGGTCCACACTACACGCTGTGCCAGGGACCCAATGTGGTCAAGGGCATTAGGCATGTGCATCCCATGTACCTGGCTCTCCAGGGCTAGGGGAATCACAGGATGCATGGCCACATTTCCAAGGAAAGAGGAGGGAAGGGAGTGCTGACAGCATTGGCCGGGGCAGCTGTGCTGCTGAGCATCTCTAACCAGAGAGTGGAGGATGCTCTGAGCTGGGACTCTAAGAATTTCCTTGAAGGAAGTAGCTTCTGAATTGTCCTGAAGGCAGCTGAATTTTTATCTAAGAAACCACCTTAGGACTCTTGTCAGGAGCACTGGGCATCACTGGCTCTGTGGGATGGCACTGTCACAGAGAGATAGAGCTGGGAGGACAGTGGAGGATATCCCCTAGGGATGACATCCCAGGCAGGGAATGGGGCTCAGTGGCTGAACAATCCCGTGCTGCAGCCTTCCAGGTGTCAGCCAGTCAGGAAAAGCCCACAGCTTTAACGGCTCCACCTGAGGTCAGTGTAATAGACCTCGGAGTGCCAAAGTTACCTGGGGCAGGAGACAATGTGCCAGAAGGCCCTGGAGTGCCAGGAGCTGTGGAGAGATCCAAGCTGGCTCTGGAAGGAAGAGGGCACAGCAGCATTCAGGGTGAGGAAGGGCCTTAGTGCTCCCCTCAAATCCAGAGAGTTCTCTTGGTGGCCCAATCCCAAGCACTCTCCAGGCAGGCAGAGGCCGGCAGCACCCATCCTTTCCTCACCCATGCTATTTGGCTGCTTGATGGAGTCCTGTAGTCAACACTTAGTGGACATTGCCTGGAAGCCCAGCCCAGTCTAGTGTAGGCACTGGGGGCCCAGACAGGATGGAGGTGCAGGCCCTGCCTAGTGAGGAGACAGGTACTTCTGTGTAATAAGGCTTATGAAGAGAGGGTCTGCCCAGGGTGTGGGAGTCCTAGAGGCAGAAGGGGTAAAAGGTTTCCCTGATCTTACAGGTGATATCAAGCTGGATCTTGAAAGGAAATTATCAGAGCTCAAGGATGAGAAACAGAAGAAGGGCATTTCAGGCAGAGGGCATGGCATGGCATGGCCAAAGGCAGGGAGGTATACAAAGGGAAATGGAGATGGGAATGAGGCATGTTCCTGGTGATAGAGTCTCTGAGGAACAAGACTCTGAGACACAGAGGAGCTGGCCCAGGCAAGATGAAGCCCCTTTGGGCTGAGATCTCACCAATTGAGTCTCCTTGAGGGCAACCCAGGTATCAGGGTTCCCTTATCCTTCACCTTAACATGGAATCTTACTGCCTCATTCTAGTCACAAGAAAGAGTATACACTGTGGGGAACCATGGGGTGTCTCAGTAAGAGGGTGTTAGGACTTTTAGGATTTGTGCTGATATTAGATGGTTTGGGGGAGGGCTTAAGGAAGCAGGCAGGGCTTTGCTCTGGATTAGAAGTAGGGTGATTCTACGACTGGGTATCTTAATAAATCTTATGTAGAAAGAGGGAAGATAAGAGTGAGGCTAAATGGTAAAGAAGCAGCGTATTATCCAGGTTAGAAAACTACTTGGTCATTTGTATGGCTTGGACAATGCTCATGTTTTGTCTATGTTCAGACATGATTATGGAGTGGTCTAGTTTTTGTCTCAATCTATCTCAGTTGCAGTGGCCTTGTCTGAAGCTGACAGTCTATGAAATTGTTAATGT